GCTGACAGGGTCCCTGGGGTGCAGATCCCAGCCCCTGGGGCACAGGGGAGCAGGGACGTGGCAGGGACTCGTGAGGACGCAGGGAGCAGACCCCAAGTGCTGGGCTGAAAGGGACCCAGAGAGAAGTTCCCAGTCTGGGGACAGATGGGTGGCAGGCACATCCCAGGGACCAGGGACACCCCAGGGACACCCCCTAGGGACCAGGGACACCAACAGGGAGCAGACCCCAAACCCTGGGCTGATGGGGACCCGGGGAGCAGACCCCAGCCCCTGGGGCACTGGGCAATGGGGACTCCCCAGGCATCAAGGACAGCAACGGGGACTCGGGGAGACCCTGGGGGCGGGGGGCCAACCCCAAATCCCCAGCTGAGGCGCTCCCAGGGAGCAGGCGACAACCCCAGGCACCGATGGGTGCCAGGGACCAGGGAGCAGACCCCAATGGTCAGGACAACGGGGCCACCAACGAGCCCATGTCCCACCCGGGGTTGCTGCTGGCCGGGGACCTCGGGGCTGCTCAGGGCCCCGCAGGGCAGCCGCAAGCCCAGGGGCACTGGGGGAGCAGGGACAGCCCAGGGGACCCAAGCCCAGGGGTGCGGGGCACCATGGACACCCCAGGGGCCCTGACCCTCAGGCTAAGGGGACCAGGGACCCCCTGGGGACCTGAGCCCCCTGGGGACCTGAGCCCCAGGACAAGGGGGACCCGGACCCGCAGAGCTCCCCGTGGTGTCTGTGGGACCCCGCAGGCCCACAGCCCCTGCGCTGGCGGTACCTTCTCGATGGTCAGCCTCTGCTCGTCAGGGGTGGGCGAGGTCTGGTCGTACGCACCCACCACCACGGTGTCGGTGGTCCTGGGCACGGGCAGGCACTGAGCACCGGGCACAGGGGTGGGGGGGCCCTGGGGACCCCGTGCCCATGCCCAGCCCCGCGCTGGTGGGCGGCAGAGCCGGTGCCTACCTGACACCGCAGTGGGCAGCGGTGACCACCCAGTTCTCGCTGATCAGCGACCCGCCACAGAAGTGGAAGTTGTCGTAGCGCTGGCGGGGAGAGCTGCCGTCAGTTCCCGGCACTGCCGGCACCATCGCCGGGGTGCTCTGTGCCCAGCCCGCGCCCCGGCACCCACCCTGGCACCCAGCCCAGTACCCAGCCCCGCTGCGCGCAATCACCTGGAGGGAGACCTGCCATGGCCAGGACCCCGGCACTGCCGGCTCCCCATTGACGATGCGGTTGTAGCCGCGGATGACGGGCGTGATGGCGGGCACGCCGCAGCCTGTGGGGCACAGGCAGATGTAGGACAGGGCTCTGGCTGCCCGGGCCCCGCGCCCCTCCACCGCCGACGCCACCCCTCGCCCCTCGCCCGCCCCGCGGGGCCCCACAGCCCCATGCACTCTCCCGTGAGGGGGTGGGACGCGGAGAGCGCGCGCGCGCCAGCACG